CAGATATATAAACACACGTGTGTGTGTGTGTATGTATGTATGTGTATTGATCAAAGCACAGTCTTTCGTCTCCCCCACAATCCCATATACATGGCCAACCCAAAGAACCTTTCCTTTTAAACTCACAACTTCCAGTTTCTAATCCTAGATAACCTAGTATGGACACTTGGCAGGATGGGAAGTGAAGACAAAGGGAAGAGAAGTGGGCTCAGAGAACAAATACAACAATCTTCTAACACCCGTGACCTTCTTTTAAATTCTCAAATAAATATTTCACTAAGGAAATTGCCAGAAGACTGAGCTCCCCCTTTCTGATGAGCGCACAAACTGTCAGGTCTCCTAAGAGCCAAGGCAATTCACAGCAGTTGGATAGTACATGTAAAAATCTCTCTTGGGGTTTGACTCCTTCCCCTTTGGAATGGCCTGTGTAAGAACATTTTTTACTCTATGTCTTGCTCCACACCAGTAATATAGAGTCTGTGTGCAGGCACACAGGTTGGCTCTGCTTAAAATGAAACCAGGAAACCATTTTAAAATCACTACTTGCCACTGAAAATGGATGACTTTTTGCTTCTTCACGTATATTTGTAAATGGAGATTCCAATATGAGAGCGTCAGGAGGAGTTTCTAAACAAGGGAGGGAAAAAGAAAACATGATGACGCAATAAGCCTTAGCAAGATGATGCCATTTTTAAGTGGCCTTGAATGCCCCCCTGTCAAAAACTGTGCCAAAGGGATCTGAGAAAAGTCCTTTCCAGACAAAGCTTGGGAGAGTTAAGTGCCCATGGCTCCATTCTACTGATGACTCTGACCCATTAGGGCAGTGATTTAGAGCTGGAAAGGACCTCCCCATCAAAAGGGAAAGAGGGGAATCACCATTGAAAACAGTATGGCATTCGAGCGTGACAGGAGTGAGAAGCACATGACCCCAGACACACCCTGAGCAAACCCAGGACTGCACTAGTCCAGAAACCACCCCATTCCACTCTTATCAATCTATGTACCAGATCTGGGTGACCCAGGGTGTGCACAGCTTCCAGGAACAAGGAGGTGACAGTCCTACTGCACTCTGCCCTAGCTGAGCTATATCTAGAGGACTGTTCATTTCTGGGCCACACATTTTAGGAAAGACACTGGTAAGTGGAAGTGTCCAGAGGAGAGTAACCAAGGGTCATATCCCAAGAAGGAACTAGGGATGTTTTGCCAGGAGAGGTAAAGACTTAAGGGGACATGATAAACATCTTCCAAGTATTTCAAGATTATCACAAGCAAGAAGGATTAGATTTGTTCTCTTTGGCCCCGGGGCAAGAAAGCAACGGGCAGACTCTACCAAAAGGCAGATTTCCAATGGGTACAGGTAAAATTTCCAAACAAGAGAGCTATCCAAAAGAAATGGCTTAAGGAGCAGCTGATTTTCCCCTCATCAAAGGTCTTCAAGCAAAGAATGGTTGACTACTGACAGCTTATGAAAAAGAATTGCTTCTATTGGACAGCTCTTGTTGTTCTCAAATTTTTCCTTACTTTGATCTAAAATTTGTCTGCAACCTTTTCTTTTTCAGGTATAAGTGAGATTAGATGAGGCAGCAAGGTGGTGCTGTGAATAGAGTGCTGGGCTTGGAGTCAGGAAGACCTGAGTTCAAAACCAGATTCAGATATTTACTGTGTGACCCTGGAAAATCACCACCTCTCCCTGCCTCAGTTTCCTCAACTGTAAAATAGGGATCATAATAACACCTACCTCCTAAGGTTGTAAGGATCAAATGAAATATCTGTAAAGTGCTTTAGGAAAAATAAGTGTTTATGGACTTGAAGTGAATCTCTGTGACTCAGATTCCATGATCTTCACAACAACCTCCCAACTCCAAAGTGGGTAGGACAAGCATGATGATCCCCATTCTATGGATGAAAACACTGAAGTGAAGGGAAGTGAAGTGAGTTATTTGCCCAAGGCCACACATGTAACAATGGCAGAGAAATCAAAAGATGGATACAACATAACAATCAGGTCAAACAGATTCCAGATCTCCAAGTCATTTCTCGTGTCTTAGCCCATGCTCCAGCTGTTTTTTCAAAGTAATTATTTACAGATGGGGTGGAAGGGAGAGGAGTCAAGGACACCTGATTCCATCTAGTACAGAGCTATCTTAGAAAGTAAATACAGGGAGGGATGCGTGTGAAACTTAGTATTAGCGGCATTTGGCTACATGAACAGCATCAGGGATTCTCTACCCTACAGCAGGAGAAGCTAACACTGAGGAGCTTTTTGGTTTTTGTTTTGTTTTGTTTTGTTTTTGTCTTAAAAAAAAATCCCTAAGAGCCTTGAATCATTTGCTCTTGAATCATATGCCACGGTAGAGCCGACATGCCACTGGGAAGTTTGTGGTTTCATCTAAGAAAGTGAAATTTCTGGAAAGGTAGATTTAGGCTTGATATAAAGGAAAAAAGTCCTAGTGATTAGAGTTATCAAAAAATAGAATCAGCTGCCTTGAGATTTCATATATCAAGTCTGAAGAAGGCTGAAGGGAAAGAGAACCTTAAAGGGAATACGCACAATAGATTGGGCGGAGGGAGGGACCAATCGGTATTTCAGATCCAATGAAAAAATACAGCCACAACTCTATCCATGTGACAGATACCTACTTTATACTCAAAATTAAGTAAGTGTGTGGGGGGAGGGGAAAGGGGAGCCTCAACAGGGTGCCCAAACCTGAGAAAAAGGGAACATGTGAGACAGGAAGACCTAGTGATAGAAAACCTTCTGATGAAAAACTCTTCAATAGAAGCCATCTTATTTAATAAGCATACAATGTGTCTTCAGAACTAGGGACAAGCATACATTTTGTAGCATGCTACTGCAATGGCCATAGAAAAGTTATGGTGGTCATTAAATGCCTTACTAGAGGTCTTAGACATTCTTACCTCGTTCACATAAGCGCCTTACTAAGTTGGTTGCAACTCTAGAAAGAAAAAAAAAGAAGCAAATTAATTGTAAATAAAAGTTAATCCTTTTCTATTTCCTAATCAAGAATGGTTTAAGCCCCCCAGAAGGATGGGCATAAAGCACCATCAATGAAATGATAATCTACCTTCTTTTCAAGGTTTTTTTTTTGTTTGTTTGTTTTTTGTTTTTTTCCAAGAAAGGATACTGTAATTGGACAGCTAGGAACTTGTGCTGCCCGTTCAGGAAGAATGGTGACCTATGAACTGAACATTGCCTTTTAGAAAGATACAAAGGGTAGGAAGTCCTGGAGGTCCTGCACAGAGGCTCAGACCTTTGATGACTCCTAAACAGGGACTGTGTCTGCTGAGCTCTCTTCCAGCAATGACCCACTTCACCTCACACCTTGGGAATGGATGAACACTTTTGATGGTAATGGGTAAGTCAACTTCCTAAATGACCACAGAATGCCTTTTACTACTGAACCCATCAGGAAGGAATAACACCCTTTCAACTAACAGACTTAGGAAAGTACATTGACCACACCACTTCTCATGAGACACCACTTTGAAAGTCATGATTCACTGCTTGGAAAGAAAGTGCCACTGATCAGCACAATGTCTTCACCAACCCAGCACATGCAGTAAATATCTATCCTTATTTATCCTTGTTGCATGTTTTCTGAACCCAGGCAGGACACGCAGGGAGATGATTATCTTTGTCTGCAATTGAACCCAGACCGCACTGGTTTGGCTGTACAAAGACCATCTTTGATGAAAAATTGGGAAGCCAATGAAAGATGCCCATTTTGAACATGGTTCATCTTTTTTGAGCAGGACAGCATAGCAGTGCCAATTTAGACTCTCATTCTCTTCTAGCTGGTATTTTCAAACATCCCCTCTTTACAGCCTTCAGAAAATAAGCTATGAAAAAGTTCAGTGTGTCTCTCTCACTCTAATGGAGGTTATCACAATATCAGACAGAGTATCATATCCTCTGGCACCTTACCCCAACCAGCTGGAATGTATTCAAGGAATTCGTCCTTTTGGGAAGGGAGGAATTGGTGGCTGCCATGGAGTTATGGAATGAAAGGGAGCGTATAGTACAGACCACTTCACCTAAGGACCTAGCTTTTCTGATGAGCACCTAGTTGCTGCTCCAAGTACAACTTATGCACAACACAACACAAATTGATTAGAAGGCCTTCCCTTCTGAGATGACCTCCCATCTAATCTCGCTAGATTTTGTTTGTCTATGTCTACGTATTTACATGTTGTCTCCTCCATTAAAATGTGAGCCCCTTAAGGGCAGGAACTGTTTTTACCTCTCTATCTCCTCTGCATAATGCCTGCTACAGAGTAATAAGTGCTTAATAAACGCTTTTTTGATAGATTGCATAGTGATGAGGCAGCTAGTGGATAGAACACTAGATCTGAAGTAAGGAAGGTCTGAGTTCAAATGTAGCCTCAAATACTTACTAGCCCTGTGACCAGGGCATTTAACCTGTATCTGCCTCAGTTTCCTCATCTGCAGATGAGGGATAATATAGAGATAAACACTTTAATTCTAACATATTTAATGATACAATGGAAAATATCTAGGGATAAGCTTCAGAAATGCTCATAGAAAATGGGGCTTGAGCAATAAATTTGGACAGGTCCATAATTTAAAGATTACACCCCACCCCAACTTCCCCATCCAAAGGCAATTAAATGCCAGGTGAATGGAAATCTTACCCAGTGCCCAGTGAATGGCCCCAAATATACACAGGATTGTAACCACTTCTTGCTTTTATCCAGTCAAAAACATGTAACGCATCGTAGGTCATTCCCCGTTCTGTTGGAGTTCCTATTGAATCACCCCAGCCTAAAAAAAGGAGTCCAGAGAAAGAGCAAATGAAAGATCTTAACATTTAAAGCCATTTGTCAAATACAAATTATTTGCATGCCCAGAAATGATTATTTGTGGGCTGACACATAGAAGAAGCCGGCTTATTCTGACTCGTTGAAAAAGCAAGACTAATGGCCATGGGTGGAAGTTCCACCTGCTTTTCAATGGGTCGCAGCTTTCAGTGCAATGAAGACAAAACTAACAATGAGGACCATCCAGCATAGAATGAATGGGCTCCCCTCGTTAGTTAGCCCCCCTGTCACCGAACCCAAGGAGAATATGGATGACGAGGGATGAAGGAATGGGCTGAATGATCTGAGGTCCATTCCAAGTCTTGGTTGTGAGGTTCTATGAGTCAGCTCACACCACAGCCACACACTTGTCCACATTATACTGACACTGCAGAATCACTGCAAAGTGAAGGGTAAAGGGATGAGTTTTCATAACAATAATAGTAATAACAGCCAACTTTAAAAAAATGTTTTAAGGTTTACAAAGCACTTTACAAATATTCTCATCGTACCTTTATATGTAAGTGAGCAAACTATAGTGGAAAGAGCCCAGGACTGGCAGTCAGGAAACCTGGATTCAAAAGTCAGGCTCTCCCACTAATCAGACATTTGGGCAAATCTTTACAGCTCTTTGGACTGCAGGTTCTTCATCTATAAAACTAGAGATTGAGTTTAGGTGATCTCTGAAGTCCCTTTCCAGTTGTAGCAACCTGTGATTCTGTGAGCCTCCAAACAGCTTGAAACATTCATTTATTCTTCTACTTAAACTTGTTTCCAAGCAAATATGTGGATTTCTAAAGCCTGAAAAAACACAGGCACTGGAAAGACTGTCTCATGGCAATTCCCCTCCTGGTAATTTGTAATCACTAGCTCTACTGACCTAGTCCTCCCAGGGAAAACTGTGACCTCCTACCCACAAACCTCCTCAGAATGCCACACAAAATGATGGCTAGCACAGATTATGAATTGACTGCTAAATAACAGAGGAAACGATTCAACACGATTCAACCAAAAAACCTCAGTCATTCCTTTCCATTCCACCCCTTAACCTCTCCCCTCTCCCCTTTTCTCTCCCTCTTTCTCTCTAATGGAAGTTATTGGGGGAGAAAATGTGTGCATGTGATTCATTCACTCACACATACACTTTAGTGTATGTAATATATGAGGTAATTTTTTTTTTGGTGGAGGAAAATAATAATTACTACCACTGAATCTGAAGTGGTCACCTCAAGATTACCTGTAATAATTGAAGGAATTGAAGGCTGGCATAAGACAGATGTGATATCTGTCCTCGAATTTGATATAATTTCTGATCTGTATTATAATGACAGATAATTTCACATCTAGAATTTGGCCAGTGCTTTCAACCTCCTGACCCTATTTGGCTTTCATGAAAACTGATTGGAAAATCTTGTCATTTTTTAGCATTGGAAGGGACCACTGAGATCATGTAGTTGAACCTCCTCATAGGAACAAAAAACCAAGGCCCAGAATAAGTCCCAACTAAAATTCCATCTTTTACAGAAAGCCTTTCCCAATCCTTCTTAATTCTAAACCCTTCTCTATGCTAATTATTTCCTATTTATCCTCTATAGCTTGCTTTGTATAGTTGTTTGCCTGTTGTCTCCCCCATTAGATCCTTAAGGATAGGGAGAGTCTTTTGTCTCTTTTTGTATTCCCAGAATGCACAATGCATTGCACATAGTAAGTGCTTAATAAATGTTTACCTATTGACAGATTAATTGGGAAGCAACTTGCCCAAGGTCACACTGGCAGCTAATGGCAGAATCAAGAGTTGAGACACATTGTGCTGGCCTCCATAATTGGGACTATAAATTGTAAGTCATTCATTTTTGTTAGGTGAAGTTCTTTTCAATTTTACCGAGCCTTTATTAAGCATATCAAAGTCCAAATCCCACACTTTGACCCAGCAATACCACTTCTAGGTCTGTATCCCAAAGAGGGAAATACAAATGGGAAAAGGACCCACATGTACAAAAATATTTATAGCAACTCTTTTTGTGGTGGCAAAGACTTGGAAATTGAGGGGATGCTCATCAGTTGGGGAATGGCTGAACGAGTTGTGGAATATGAATGTAATGGAATACTATTGTTCCATAAGAAGTGATGAGCTGGAAGACTTCAGAAAAAACTGGAAAGACTTATATGAACTGATGCTGAGTGAAGTGAGCAGAACCAGGACAACACTGTACACAGTAACAGCCACCTTGTGTGATAACTAACTTTGATAGACTTAGCTCTTCTCAGCAATGCAAGGATCTAAGACAACTCCAAAAGACTCATGGTGGAAAATGCTATCCATATCCAGAGAAACAACTATGGACTCTGAATGCAGAGCAAAGCATACTATTTACTCTTTTTTTTTTCTTTCTCGTGGTTTTCCTCTTTTGTTCTGGTTCTTCTTTCACAACATGACTAATGTAGAAATATGTTTATTATGAATGTATATGTAGAGCCTATATCAAATTGCATGCCATCTTGGGGTGGGGGGAAGCGAGGGATGGGCAGAAAATTTGGAACTCAAAATCTTATGGAAATGAATATCGAAAACTAAAAATAAATAAATAAATAAATATTTTGAAAATTTTTAAAAAAGTCCAAATTCATTACTATGTCCAAGGGTAAATGTTCAGTGCTAGAGAAGACACAAAGACAAATGAGACTTGGTTGCTTCTCTCAAGGATTCTATACTCTAATAGGAGAGATAACACACGTACATGAATAATAGTAATTGAAAACAGAATATACTAATACATAAGAAAAGTAAACAAGGTACCCTGAGGGTCCACAGGAAGAACTGTTCATTCCCATCTTGGGAGATGGGGAGGGAATCAAGGATGGCTTCATGGAAGAGGCATCAACTAAGTTGGGCCTTAAATGATGAGTAGTAGTTTAACAGGAAGAGAGGAGGGTTGGGGCTTGAAGATTTTAACCATTAGGAATTAAAAAGACAGAGGCAGGAAAACAAGGGCTATTTCAGAGATAGGGAGGAGTCTAGTTTGGGAGGTATAAAGAGTATAGAAGGGGGGTATTATGTGAGATAATGTAGGCTGAAGCCAGTTTGGAATTTGTTCTGCATGCAATTGGAACCACTGAAAGTTTTCTGAGCAGGGTTGTGGGGAGGGATGATGTAATCAAAGCCGAGGATCAAGAAGATTATTCTGGCAATGGGGTATGGGAAAGGCTGGAATGGGGAGAGTTAGGGGAGTGGGGAGACAAACTAGGAAACTACTACAGTACTCTAGGTGACAGGGAGCTAAAGAGTGAATGTCAGAGAAATCACAGAAGTAGATCAACATTAGTTAGCCACTTGCTGAATGTTAAAGATGAAATAAAGATTATAAGTACAGGTGACCAAGAGAATTATACTATTAACATAAAGAGAGAAATCATCAGGGAAGGATGAAAAGTTCACTTCTAGCCATGTTCAGTTTGAGATGCTTATAGGCTATCCAGATGGAAATGTCTAGTAGGTAATGGAAAATATGGGTCTGGATTTTGAGAGTCATCTGCTACTGGCCAGAAGTGAAGCCAAGAGAGCGCAGGAGAATGCCAAGGAAGGGGATGAAGACAGAAGAGAGTCAAAGATACAACAGATCAGGACAAAGAAGTGGAACCAAGGATAAAGACAATAGTCAGAGAAGTGGGGAGAGACTGAGGCAAGCGCTGTGTCCCAAAAGCCAAGAGAAACCTTCAACAAGACAGGTGATGGCCAACAGTTTGAATACTACAGACGAGTCAAGGACAATGAATACTGAAAAGGTGACGAGATCTGGCAATGGAGGAGGTCAAATGATGCCACGCAATGGAACAATTTCAGTAGAATGTTGATGGAGGAATCCAGATTGAAAGGAGCTGAATGAGAAGTGGATTGTGGGAAGAAGTGAATGGAGGCTACGCCTTTGTTAAATTTGGCAGTGACAGGGAAAAGTGAAATGGGTAGCCTGAGGGTCAAAGGAAGGGAGCTATTTTAGTTTGTTTATAGTACGTCTTTTTCATTTTTCCAGAGCAAGGTCCAGGACGATGCAGGGATCCAGGGAGGGGTAGGGATGAAGAGCACAAGTGGTCAGTAGTCCTTAATCTTGTGCTGTATTACATATGCTGCAACACATACATTCCAAAGCCTCTTTTCTCTGGATCCCGTGCCAGTTGCCTCAACACCTCTCTAGGTAGTTGCTCCAAGGGTGGCAGTAGAAGAAACTAAATGCTAGTCATTTCAGGTGAGCTATTCTGGAACTCTTCCAACAATCAGTGCAGGAACTAATGCAACTCCTTACAATAGGCTGGGCAAGCCTGTGCTGAAAAGAAGCATTAGGAGAAGTTTGTGGTCTTTTTACAGCTCAGTGCCTCAGACACCCAAGAGAAGGAAGTTGCCTTGACACATTAACAAAAGGAAAAGTAAGGAGTTTTGCCTTGGTGGGCTGAATTCCCTGATGTTTGTGTTTTTAAAATATCTTTTCTTAGGCCATTCCCCTTATCTTTCTTCCCCCTTGTACCTCAAAAAGAAACCAATGATTGCTGTTTTTTGAGCAGCTCGGCAATGAGTCACCATCAAATGATTATTTTAAAAAGGCATCACAAGGTTTAGAAGGAGCCAGTTTTGATGCATAAACAAAAGCCATGGGACTTAAGGCAGTAAAACCTGCTTCCCAGGTCCTGGAAAGTTATCATATGTCTACAACAGGAGTGGAGAATTGGTAGGTAGAAACTATACTAATATGGTTTTTCCAGCCAATCTTCTGGGGAAGTGCCTAAAGTTTCACAGTGAAAATCTACACAGCAGCAGCTCCTCATGACTGTTTTAAAGTACCTGCTTTGTATAAGGGAATGTGTGCTGCATTAACGATACATGGAAGTTTGAGACGTGGTCTATTTCTCTTAAAGCACTCACGATATAGTTGGGACAGTCATATAATATTTGTAAAAAGACAACAATACAAGGTAGCATTTGATAGGTGCTGAATGCATGGTATAAATAGTAAAGGCCGCAAAAGTTTGGAGGAGAGAATGATCCCTACAATAGGTTCCCAGGGTTAGGACTCCAGCTTCGCTCCCAACATCCTAGTCATTGTCACATTTCAGGTCAAAATATCATAGGAAGTGATGAGGGTAGTTTCAAACTCTCTCAGACTAGTCCAGGGGTGGGGACGTTTCATTTGTTCTGTGAAGTTTGGATTCAAAGGGCTGTACTTGTGACCTCAAGGCCACAGGTTCCCCACCCCTGGTCACTAGTCCTTTCCTCTCCATTGTCACTGTCACCAACACCTCACACTAGGATTCCCTACCATAGGTGGCATCCCTGAGTCCAGTCTCTTTCTAACCCTATGTATCCTCCACCCTGCCAGGTTAAGCTCTTAAAAACTCTGCTTTCATCATGTTCCTTTCTAGCTTAAAAACTTCCAACTGTTTCCTATTATAAGAACTCCACACATCTCAACTTGGCTTTTAAGGCCCTTCATAATCCAGCCTCCACCTTATTTATTGATTCATTTATCTTAACTTTATTTTCCACTATTCTCAAACACACACTCTTTGCTCTAGTCAAACTATCCTCCTCATTGGTCTCCCCAACCAGTGGGGAGAAGGGGGAGGGAAATATTTTATTGAGCAAATACTCTGCCGCTCTGAAACCTTTATTCAGGAAGAACTGGAAAATGAGCTAGTTTTCTTATATCATACACTTCATCTAAACTCTTCCTTTCCCCTACTTCCTGACAGAAGCATGCAGCCTAACGGAAAACACCATCTTCTGTTGAGCTCCGCTGTTCAACTCTGTATTTTAAAAAGTAGATGAAATCATATATGGCTGGTCAAACTTAGCCAGCCATCCTCTGTTGAGTTCTCATGAATTTAAAATCCAACCCCTTTAGGGCAAAGGCCACATGTCTTCTTTTGAATCTCCAATGGTATTCAGATAATATTGGGCACATAGTAGGTGCTCAGTCAATACTTATGGATTCAGTGGTTTAAGTTGGAAGGGGTAGGAGGAAGAAAATTTAAGGTGGAGGGAAGAGAAAGGAATGGCCTTAAAAAGATATTTTAAAAAAAATCAGGGAAGTGAGCCCATTGAGGCAAAACCCAGTACTTTTCCCTTTTCAACCTTTTCAGGGTTGCTTTCTTATTCAATAGGCTTGTATAGCTATAGCACACACAGTTCAAGGTCAGGGACCTGTCTTTATAGCAACTAGGCAGCACAGTGCCTGAAACATACATAATATGAGATTAATAAATGCCTGCTGACTTGAGTTGAATAAAAATTCAAGTTACTCAGGAAACAGATTTTTAACATGCCACATAACAGCATATCTTTATAACGAAACTCACAAGAAATTTCCCTGTACACATCATTGGCTGTGATTCAGACGTGCAAAACTGTGCCACAACAGAGCCTGTCATACACAAGGCAAAATCAGCAAGCCAACCAAACTCCTTCTAGAGAGTATTGCTGACATGGCAAAGACAATGAGTCATGCATAGCATTTTATTTATTTATTAGTGAGGTAATTGGGGTTAAGTGTCTTGCCCAGTGTCATACAGCTAGTAAGTGTTATATGCCTAAGGATTTGAACTCAGGTCCTCCTGACTCCAGGGCAGGTATTCTATCCACTGTGCCACCTGACTGCCCCAAAGGATTTTAAATTGATGAGAACTAGACAGGAGGCTGGAGAAGTTTGGCCAGCCATATATAATTTGGTCTACTTTTTAAAATACAGAAAGTTGAGCAAGGGAACTCAACAGAGGATGGTGCTTTCCATTAAGCTACGTGCTTCTGCCAGGAAATAGGGGAAAGGAAGAGTTTAGATGAAGTGAACAATAGGAGAGGGTTATTAGCTAAGTTTCCTTCCAATTCTTCCTGAATAAAGGCTTCAGAGTGGCAAAGTAATAGAATATTAATGTGCCATAAGAAACAATAAAGAGGGGGCAGCTAGGTGGTGCAGTGGATAGAGCACTGGCCCTGGAGTCAAGAGGACCTGAGTTCAAATCCAACCTCAGACACTTGCTAGCTGTATCACTGGGCAAGTCACTTAACCCCACTGCCTCGCCAAAAAAAAAGAAAAAGAAACAAAAAAGAAACAATAAAAAGACAGTTTCAGTAAAACCTAGAAAGACTAATATAACTGATACAGAGTTAAGTGGGAAGAATCAGGAGAGCTATTTATAACTGCATTGCAAAGAGTATCGACTTTCAAAGATTTAAGAAATTTGAACAATAAAATGACCAACCTTAACTACAAATGATGAAGCATGCTACCCACCTCCTAACAAAGAGGTCTGAAGGTACAAAATGAGACATACAATTCTGGATGTGGACAATAGATGTATTTGTTTTGCTTAATTATGCAAATTTGTTACAGGGGATTCCCCCAAAAACATCTGGGAAGGAAGGTTAGGAGAAAGATAAGGGTTAGCAACCAAAACAAATGGTGAAAAGGGTTATTGAAGCATTTTAAAAGATGCACAGAAACAAACAAAAGGAAGTTCAGAAGGAAAGACATGAGGACAGCTTGAATATTAACACACTAAAAGTTACTACATACTTGAAAAGCAAGTTTTTGTTAAAAGAGATTCCCAATTTCATATACAATACTCACTAGGTGTTCATTTTATCAGTTTTGTTTTTTAATGTCAGAAAAAAGTAAAGTTTCAAGTTTGGAAAAGGAAAAAAAAATTCCAGGGTTTTTCCCAACAAAAATGGTGCTTATTAAACATATACATGCATGGATATGTATAGCCATTTCATTAACTTTATGATCTCTGCTAACAGGACAGTCATATATTTGTAGTTTATGTGCAAGAAAAGGCATCAGTAATAGAGGAGACTAACTATACAGAAAACCAGGTCAGAAGAAAGGCGTTTCCATTTCCCTTCTGGCCATTCTCACACAGTGAAAAGGACCCTAAAGGAAGATTATAACATAGAAAATAATTGGATTTTTCCATTCCTGTCAAAGAGACTGTTTGAAGAAAGCATGAGGTTAAAGGAAGAGAAAAGAGGTCAATAGTAAGTTCTTCAAAGTCACTTCAAAATAAATCTCACCTCTGTAATCAAAGGTGACTACATGGTAACCAAGGGAACTCAGAACCTGTAAAAGGAAAAGAAACACATAGATTTTTGCAACAAATACAAATGCCTGTCTCACAAAGAGCTGTCCTTTTATCTAAAATGCCTAGCTAATACTTCTGTATAGGGTTCTGAGTATAACTAGCATACCTAACACCTGTGAGTTAATTAGTAGAGGTAACCTCACCTAACAAGCCTCACAAGGGATGGCCTTATGAAGGGATTTTCTACTCCCAGTTACTTCTAATTCTAAGGAATATTTTGAGGGTTCTTACAGTCCCCAGGATAAACAAACATCTTGTCTCAGATTCTACTTCCCAAGCCAAAAGACCTAGGAGGTGGAGGCAGAGGAAGAGGTTTACAACAGGGTTGTTTAGACCCTTAAAGGTAGCCAAGGAAGAGCTCCAATTGTACTCTGCTCTGCAATGTTGTTGTTGAGTTGTTTCAGTTGTGTCTAACTCTTTGTGACTCTATTTGGGGTTTTCTTGGCAAAAATGCTGGAGTGGTTTGCCATTTCCTTCTCCAACTCATTTGACAGGTGAGGAAACTGAGGCAAACAGGGTGAAGCGACGTGCCCAGGGTCACACAGCCAGTATGTGTCTGAAGTTGGATTTGAACTTGGGCCTTCCTGACTCCAGGCCCAGCACTCTATCCACTTCGCCATCTAGCTGTAATATCCTTTAGATATTCCCAGCATGGAACACTAGGGAGGAATTATATGGAGAGAGAAAATATAGTGAGGGAAGTCTATGCCTTTTTACTGCAATCCAACTAACTTTCACCTGTTAGTAGAATCAGATCCATTTATTACTAAAAAAAAAACAACAACAAACAAACATAAAAACCGAAACCCCAGCTCCAACTAACTGAAAACCTATTTATTAACTTCTCTACCCGCACACCAAAGGGTAGCTGGTGGCACAGTGGATAGAGCACTGGGCTTGGAATCTGAAAGACTCATCTTCATGAATTTAAAATTGGCCTTAGACACTTCCAGCTATGTGACCGGAGCAAGTCACTTAGCCCTGTTTGCCTCAGTTCCTTAGCTGTAAAATGAGCTTAAGAGGGAAACAACAAACCACTCCAGTTATCTTTGCTAAGGGTCACAAAGAGTTGGACACAACTGAAATGACTGAATAACAACAAAACTCTCACCAAACAGGTTAAAATCTCTAGGTAAGAGGACAATCACAGTGTTACCTTAAGGCCCACTTGTTACTGTCAGTGGACCACAACCTGATAAAAGGATATAGGAAATAATCCTATCATTAAAACTTCTTGCTCTGTTCAATCTTGTTCTTTCGAGTTCGGAAGTTGGAGTCACAGGACCTGAGTTTAAATCAAAGCTCTGACACTTATTACCTGTGTGACCTTATTTAGGCAAGTCATTTAAATGCCTCATCTGTTAAAGGAAAGGGTTCGTCTTGATAACCCCTAAGATTTTCTAGCTTTAAATCTATAACCTCTATAAGTAATCTGGGCTGGGCCATTTGACTCATTCTCTCTGCCTCCAATTCCTCCTTTTTAGAAATATTTGCTTCATATCACGAGCTCCCCTCAGTAAAAAATGAAGTCTATTTCTGACTTATCAACATGCTACCTGGCAATGGAATTATTGAAAATAGGAGTAAGGTAATTTTTAATAAAGAGAATTTCATGCCTTCAGCAAACTATCCAAGCTTCCAGATTCTACCTTGTGGGCTGGATAATAAGGCACTTTTTGAAAAAAAAAAAATCTGAATTTTATTGACTACTCTTGAGAAACCAAGGAAAGAGAATCTTCTAATCCACTTGGAGCAGCAGTTTTTAGACTGAGGTCTCAACCTTGGGATAGGTTTCAGGGGGTCTGCAAAGTTAGTTGCAGGAAAAAAACCTGTATCTTTATTTTAATATAATTGGTTTCCTTTGTAATCACATACATTTTTTCTTATGCATTTTAAAACATAATTTTGAGAAGGGATCCATAGGTTCCACCAGACTACCAAAAGTCTCCATGACATAAAAAAGGTTAAAAGCCTATTTCATGTACTAGTTGAAACTCATTACTTGAAATTTTGTCTAAGAAGAAAGAAAGAGACTGGGCTCTATTCAGTACAAACCCAGACAATGTGCCCATCTACCTACAGTTACTCCCTAAATGCTTTATGTTATCAATAAGTCTTTGGAATATGATGTCATCTTTTAATCTAATCACAGGGCATCGACCCCCATCAGCTTTCACTCAGGCTCATTTCTATTTACTTGGTAAGAGACTTATTTAATTGGGCCCAAAATGATAGAGGGTGAGCAAGATACAAAAGAAAAAAATCAGGTATTAAACTGGTCAAGTTTAAAACTCTATACAGCGGACCTGCTCCATGGGTCAAGACTTTCAGAAATTACCCTGTCTAATATCATTCTATAGCCTATTTGGCTATTTGGATACTAAGACTAAGTGGACACACCTGGAAAGTATCATACAATCTGCTGCTACTGAATCGAGTTGTGTTAGCTACTATGTCAAATTATAAGCCACAGAAGCGGATATAGGCTGTGTGGAAGCCTTGAGCAACTTTACATCAAAGACCAACAAGGCATTACTAAAAAGGCCACTGGGATAAGCCAATAACTCCTACCTTCCCAGCTAAATATATACAAAAGCCACAGAGACTAGAGCTGCCCTGTGTTTGATCTCACAGGGAGGCTACAGGAATGTAGGTAGATCATAGAGAGAGGGAATGGAATGCTTTTCTTTTAATGTGGACCACAAAGACCCACTTAAAAGCTTTTTAACCAACCCCTTTCTCCTCCTAAAGTAGTGGCAACTCCCAGAATTATAGTCCAAAACTCAAGAAATGTACCTCTGAGGGCCCAGAGTACTGGCTGATCTGTTCATCTGGGAAAGAAAATTACCTTTGGCATATATTGAATTATTTCTCTGTTTTTCTGTTATTCTTTTCTGCCAGGAAAGGCATTGCACTCTTTAAATACTTAGATGTCTTTTATTTGATATATAAGGGAGGAAAGCACATCCCTAGTTATATGTCACTTCTGACCTGACAGCACTGAGAAATGTCCTGAATTAGAAAGAGATTTAAAGAGATAGAGAAAGACAGGGGGGTTGGCCCTAGAAAAACATGCACCAGGAGCATGGTTCAGACCCAATATCACAGAAGCCAGTGATTTTAAGAGGAATACAGTACTGATTCAACAGAGAGAGAACCCTCAGGAGGACTGAGGCAGGATAGGGCTATTCCTTCCATGGAATACAACTTCATGAATACAGAAGCACATCCATCATAATTTAACATGGCCTTGGCAATTCACCTTAATTTTTTTTCCCTCCATTTTTTTCCCTTTCCTTTTTTGGAAAGAATGGGTTTTGCAACTTCCCATCTGCTTTGGCAAACATTTAGAAAATGCCTTTCAATAAAATTGTTGGAATAAGTTGTACTGTATACCTATCATACTGTTAGGCAAGGAGCTTATTCAGTAATAAGCATTTTGTTTTAAGTTTAGGTCAGCAGTAAAGCATATCTGTAATTCTTGCTATTATTATTAATTATTATCATTATTTTGGTCTTGGACCTGTGATTTCATCAGGATGGGGAAATCCAGGTGTGGAAACTCCCTCCAGCAATGCAATTTTTCTGTAACTTACATTTGTAGAGAGCTACCTTGATCACTATCCTGCCCATGGTCACATAACTGATACACATCAAAGGCAAAACTTGAAACACAGGTCTTCCTGACTCCAAGGCCAGCCCTACATCCATTATGCCAACTGCCTCTCATTACTAACACCACAAAAGGGTGGGTCAATGGCTTTGTTGGGAGTCTATTCAGCACAACATTTTGAAAACTCAAGGTCAAATAGCACTTCATGTATCCTGCCAGGGTTTGTTTGACACAGGCATGAGAAAAAACAATTCAGAATTCTGAAAAATGTCATTGTGGAAATCTCCCATGAAAAATGTTTTTGCATGGGCAAAACAGACATCAGCTTGCTGGTATAGCTTCCTAACATTTCGTTACTGAGAAGAGCAGAGAAACTACAGCTATTCCCAGCATCAGCTAACTTTGACCAATATTATCAGGGGATTCATCCTGTCCCCTCCCACCTCTTAAAATGAACAAATGGAAGAGAAAATGTCTTACCTTGTAGAGTGCCACTCGATGGTCTCCTCCCCTAAAGAAATTAACAGAGAGGGACGTAAAAAAGTGATACACTACATTAGCATCATCTTCATAAAGAACTAGGGTACAATCACCAATTCAATACAATCTAATAAGCATTAATTAAGGACCCAGTGGCTCCTTAATGTGTAATGTACTCTGCTAGGTGCTAGTCAAAATCTGCTGATGGAAGCACTTTAACCATAACCCATAATTCAGTGGCACTATGACTAGAGGATCTATGGCAGGAAACTAAATCTATTTTTTTCCCCTTTTCTTCTTTCTTTCTTTCTTTCTTTTTTTTTTTTTTGAAGGCAATTAGGGTTAAGTGAGTTGCCCAGGGTCACACAACTAGTAAGTGTCTGAGGCCAAATTTGAACTGAGGTCCTCCTGACTCCAGGGCCGGTGTTCTATCCACAATCCGTTTTCTTTCAAGTGAATTCAACATATGCTTTTTTTCCCATTTTTAAAAATTAATTTATTTTTAATTTTCAATAATGACTTCCATAAGCTTTTGAGTTTTAAATTTTTCTCCCCCTCCCTTCCCACCTCCCTCACCAAGATGGCATGCAATCTGATATAGGCTCTGCATATACATTCCTATTAAACATATTTTCACATTAGTCACAACATATGCTTTAAATGGAAACTGTATGTAATAGAAATTCACAGTTTCATAATTCAATCTTCCTTTCCTGTTCTCCATACATTGAAATGCTTTTGTCTAGTCCATAAAAAAAGTGGAATTAAAATGACAGAAGTCTTAAGAAGCCCTCACAGTAAGCCTCTGAGGCCACAGAACCCCAAAATAGGGTTCCAAAGCACTTGAAAAGTAAGGGGGGGGTATCCTGGATGTTTCTGCTCAAAAACCTTTCAGAGGAATAGTAACTCAACAGTGTTTGAGACCTCCCCTGGGCATTCCCAAAGCAAGCTGTAGCTCTAGGAACCAGAGAAGAAAGCTCAAGTCCCTTTTCTTGCCCTGCAATTCAAATATGGCCCAGGTTCCATGGGGCTGAAGGCTCCCTGCCTGGCAAGCAGGCCAGTTTACTGGTAAAGATCACATCTTCAAGCTCTCTAACCTGTTTGGCCAAGTCCACGTTGCACTGCACTGTGACTGCCATAGTGAAGAATTAAAGAGTCGAAGTTTTTAACTTGGGCAGCCAAAAGCCTCTTGGGTCTGTAAGGAATCATTATGACAACTTCCCAGAAGGGCTTCCAAGTCAAAACAAATTCCAAAAGAGACCACAGGCACATCTCCCACTCTCATAGGCCACCTTGCACTTAACCTGGCAGACAATAGCACATGACTTTTTCAGACCATGAGAAAACTTTTATGAAAATGGTGTTTTCATTTCCCTTCAGATGCCTTGGGGACTAGATGTCACCTGCCTTCTTCAGTTAAACCCAGACTGTCTGGCTTGTTTGGGGGCACAGAAGCAGTAGCAGCAGCATCCTACTGCTTTAGCAAACTCTATTTTCAGGAAAGAAATACATGCAAAAAGTCATGAGAGGGACTGAGCACAGCATATGTGGAAGCCTTAGAAATGGCCCCAAGGGACTGCAGGTTTTTTTAAATAAATTCACTCAACCAAAAGGAGCAAACCAATCAAAAACAGTGTTTCTCATCACCAATTTAAAAAAAATTATGTGAGAGAAGGGTAAGGTGGACACTTTTGTTTTGTTCTTTTAAAAAAACCAAACCAAAAAATATCATAATTAAAGCATGTTTTTGAACAAGGAAGGGATCAGGTAGGTCTAAGGACTAGGAAAACCATTTTCCCGAAGTTCCATTTCAATCAGCAACCCTTTCATTTCCCACAGGTTTTGCACTGAATTGCACCGAATGATCTGAAACACTACTTATATCCTAAGACTGCTTTTAGAAAAAAGTCGTGAGAAAAACTCACGTGCAAATGGCACTTAAAAGTTTGTAAGGAGCTTTATACACGTCCCATTTGATCCTCACAATATGAGGGACACATCATGGATGTTTTAATCCCACTTTTGGGGGTAGCTGGTAGCTTGGTGGATAGAGTGCTGGGCCTGGAGTCAGGAAGACTCATCTTCCGGTGTTCAAATCTGGCCTCAGACACTTAGTGGCTATGTTACTCTGGGCAAGTCACTTAACCCTGCTTGCCTCAGTTTTCTCATCTGTATAATGAGCTGGAGAAGGAAATGGTAAATCACTCCAGTATTTTGCCAAGAAAATCCCAAATGATGTCAAGAAGAGTCAGACACAACTGAACAACAAATTTCCCACTTTACAAATGAAGAAAATGAGGCTAAGAAGGGCTTAGGTGACGTATCTGAGGGGTCACGCAGCTATTAAGTGTCTGTGGTGAGACTGGAACCCGGGTGTTCTGGAGTCTAAGCACAATGCTCTATCCAGCACACTACACTGCCCTTCTGCAGAAGGTACAATAGCTGTCAGGAGAACACATACTTTTTTTGTTTCCCTCAATTCTTTCTAGGGTTTTACAAGCTGAATTACGAATATAGGCTGTTTAGTCCAATGACCTTTTAGTTTTGTAATATGTTCTGGTCAGTTGTACCAAGAGGTACTAATTTTGAAGAGCACTGACTGACCCCCAAACTTTCAAATCCTATTTCACAATATTTCATCTCTTTTCCTTTCCACCTACATAGAATGTCCCAAAAGTCTTAGTGTACTTTTGTGCTATTAAAGCTATTCAAGTTTAAAACTTCACTAAGATTTTTGGGACACCCTGTATTTGCCATACTTTTCCTATAACAACTTCTCCTTCAATACATCTTTTTTTTCCCCCAGGTTATTATTTTTTAAATTAAATTTTATTTTCAGATCTAAATTGTCTCCCTCCCAATCCTCTCCCCCTCCCCACTTCCCACCACCAATGAAGAACAAGAATATGTTAAAAACACATATAGTCAAACAAAACAAATTCCCAAATTATCCATGTCCAAAAAATACAGGCATATTTTTTCAAACTGCAGCTGAGTTCTTTACCATTATCATGAGTCCTCTGGAATTGCATTTGGTCATCGCATTGATCAGAATTTCCAAGTCTTTCAAAGTTGTCTTTATAGTATTGTTGGTAGTTGCATATAAAATGTTTTGGATCTGCTCACTTTACTTTGTATCAGTTCATACAAGTCTTCCCACATTTCTCTGAAATCATCTCCTCCATTATTTCTTAGAGCACAACAGAATTCTATCCATCTGAATACTACAAATTGTTTAGCCATTCCCCAATTGATAGGAAACCCCTCAGTATCCAATTCTTTGCCACCACAAAAAAAAAGAGCTGCTATAAACATTTTTGCATTCCATGAGTTCTTTTGGGTTATGCTTTTCCTTTTGTGTTGACTCTCTATTTGGGTGCCTCCACCAGTGGGAATCACCATTGGTGAAGATGGACAGCATCTACACTTTAGCCTGATGGATCACTGGAATTGTAAATGAAATAATCAATTACTAACATCTTCTAAATCACCCTCCTCCCACCCAGGCCCCTGGCCCCATGAACTCTTTACTCTCATGTAATGACTACAGCATCTTTCTGGCTCAATTTCCTTCATGGTTCTCAAGTTCCTAAAGCTCCAACAAGGCATATTTTCAGTATGTGAAAGCACTGTGATAGCTTTTGCTACTCTGACATTCCTAGAGTTTTCTAGGCTTCCCGAGACTAGTGCATGACAGGAATAGCTACAATCTTTAACAACAAAGAGAAGAAAAATATACACTGCTCTCCTGAGAGCCAGGAGTAAGCATCGCTGAAGGAAATCACTGAATTTTGTAGTTGGGCAGAATGTCAGAAACCATGAAATCCAAACCATAGCTAATTAAGAATTCCTTTCTCAATGTATCTAACGTTTATTTCCTTCCCTTCTCTAAGACCCAAGTCCTCTGACTCCAAGATCCACTGTTCATATAGCAAAAGGTCTTACTTCCGTGAATGATGCATACAGAACACTTCTGCCCTCATTCTTGACTTCCTCTTGCTCCCCTGCTCTCCCTTCCTTTCAAATTCAGTCTCCAGTTGAGGCATTAACACTTGAGTTAACAGGTACTACTGCAGGAGATAGCCTAGCCCCACGTAACATCCCAGGCACGTACAAATAGAGTAGCAATGGAAAGGCTGTGGATGACAAGCAGAAAAATTGGCCTTCACAGACAAGAAATCTTTCCTGCTTTTTAGCCTTGTAGTCATGGAGGCAAAGTGATCCTATTTCAATAATGTTTTGCAAGTCATCTTGATTATTAGCAAGAAGATGTTCAAGTCCAACCACAAAGACGAATCTGGCCATGGGAAAGCAAACCCAGAGCTGCCTTTGGAAACAAAGGACAACCAACACTGTGCAGCAAACAGCAAACACTCCAGTATTTGTACGGTTAACTGAAGAGGACAGTAGCCAAGCACCCTGTCTATATATGGTAAAGTCCCCTGTGAAGGAAGGGACCTTATATGACCTGATGCAGAATGAAGTAAGCAGAAGCAGAGCAACCAATATTATGAAAATGAGCAATTTCAAGGACTTCTGTAAATTAATGAAGAATGAAATGAGCAGGACCAGGAGAAGGATTTATACAATAACAACACTGTAAAAACAAAATAACTTTGAAAGATGTAAGGACAACGATCAATACAATGACCATTTATGATTCCCAAGAACCAATGATGACGCATGCTTTGTATCCATTTAAATAGAACTGATTTATTTAAGGGTACAGAGCAAGACACACATTCCTGTATACAGATAGTGGGGGAATTTGTTTTACTTAACTATGGATATTTATTGCCAAAAAGAACCGTTTTTAACTTTATTTTTCAGTGGGGTTGGGGCAGTGAAAATAGTTTTCTGTTCATTTTTTAAAAAATAGGTGGGGGGGGTGCTACAGATGTGAAATGTTGCAAGCAGTTTCAGATGAGGTGTCTATATTATTAGTTTTACTTAACTATTTTACTTTGTTACAAGGGACCTCTCAGGAAGTAGAAGTGATCTGTAAAAGTTTGTAGCGTAAAAGCAAACTAT